ATTGTCAATATGCATATGTATGCACGTGCGTGCGCATGCAATGCTAAAATGACCAATATACTTGATATAGCTGTAACTTTTATACTTTTTGATGAAATGATTCGATACCAAAAATATGTAGATATATTAATAGTGTTGACAAGATGACACGGTCATCATGGACATGCATGCACGTGCCCGCACGTGCAATGTGTAAAATGACAGATATACTTAAAATAGCCGATTTTTTTTATCTTTTAATGAAATTTGAATATAAAGATGTATTAAAAGTGTAGACAAGTTGACATGGTCATTTTGTACATGCATGCCCGTGCGCGCGCGTGTAATGCGTAAAATACCCAGTATACTTGATTGCCTTATTTAATGAAGCTTACAGGGAATAAGACACCAAAAGGAAGTTAGGGAGCGTTTGGGGAACATCAGTAACGGTCCCCGTTACAATTAATACTAGTTAAGATTTGACGGTCGTATCATGCTGTTAAGGTGCATTTTCCCTTTAATATTATGTGTAATATTAATACACCGAGAATCATGCATTAATCTAGTTGAAAAAGTCTTATTTCTTTCTATATAACGAATGTATTAATATTAAATCTCTCCTCTCTTGGTGGTTTAGATGACGTGCTGTCATTGTTACGCTTTTTACCTGACTTTTGTGGTGTAAATGCCGAACCCTCTATACCCTGAATATCTTGTGTTTAAATCTTCCTGGTTGAGATTGTATTATTCTCACGTTCAATTAAAAGTCAAGTATTTTAAAAAAGGTTCTAGAATTGTCAGTCATGGCACGAATATCTACGTTTTGCTCTCTTTAACATGAGTTACATATACATTCTGTTTTATGACATTTTTATGCCCCTCAATAAAAAAAGAAACTTGGTAAACAATTGAAAGAATTACAAAGATGCTCACGCATCGAATTATCCTTATGATAATGGCTGTAAGCCTTGTCCAACTGTTTCTTAGTTGTTTCTTAGTTTTTTTTTCTTGTTACATTATTTTAAGAAGAGTTGGTCCTCCACTTTTTGGTCAGTTTAGTTGTTTTTTTTTTTTTTTTTTGGGGGGGGGGGGGGAAGGGGTCGCCACTATTGAAACCGTTGCTACGGGCCTGTATTTTATATTATTTATTCTCTGTTGAATTATGTTTTTGACCAGTAAATATATCTGTTAAAGTAAGATTACCTATGATTGATTGTCGTGTCTTTTACACAGACTTGCGAATATTTCGATGGTATTAAAGGAAAGCAAAATGCATTTGAAACTCCAAAAATAATGCATTTGTTTATTGATAATATTAGTCCACTATATGATTCCTGACTTTTGCGATTTTTCTCTCTATACATACATGGCCTTAGAACCAGATGTGTGTCCCCCTCCTTTACTCTGCCAATATATTGTATACTATAGAAAACATAGCTACTGTATGCTTGTGCCCCCTAATGACCTTTTTCCCAGGTCAAGGAAGTTGCTTAGTAGCCTCTCTCTTCCGACTGCAATTATTTCGTTGTGCCCCCAAACTGAAATTGCTTTCTGCGGGCCTTCTCTCTCTCTCTCTCTCTCTCTCTCTCACACACACACACACACACTCACACACACACACACACACCCTCACACACCCTCACACACACACATTTAAATCATTAATTCATTTAATAAACTTAAATTGTCAAGCTGTATTTTATAAGATTTTGATTATAAGACCGAACAAACAAAAAAGCCTACTTATAGTGTTAATTATCATTTCATTATGATTTTTGTTTTCATCAGATACAATAATTAACCCACAAAATCTTTCTCTTTATAAAATTTATTACATATCGACCCGTTCCCAAACTTTCATTAACACAATACATACATGTATATTTTATAAATGTAATGTTAAAGATATCAATGTTTACAGTTCAACAACATAAAAATCAACACGAAAATTATGAAAGATATAGAAAAAAAGAATGAAAAATATTCCAAGAAAGCACAAATCTTTTAAATTAATCCTTGTGCCGTAAAATTATAGAGAAATGAAGCTAGGCCATTATTTTAATGGTTCCATAACTTACCATAATCATATTCGTATTTTTAATTTTGATATATTTTGAACTCTTTACTGATACAACCTAATCAATTTACCTTCATTATTAAGCAAACCTCTGAGGTGCATTAATACTGCTACTCGCACTCTATTATTACTAAAGTGTTCCAAGGAACGCATACATGTGTCGCCTGCTTTGTAGCTTTATTAAAGACGTAAATAAATCGAAGTGTAGTTAGCTATTTATTTACCACTAGCATGATAGTTCATGCAGAAAAAAAGCAAATAAGCATCCACGCATAGTATAAGACTGCGATAGAATCTGACAACCAAAGAAAATATGATCCCAACTCTAAAAATGAATAATTAAGTTGAATTTAATATTATAAATAATTATTTATCATTTTACATGTACTAATAAGTGTTTCAAAGTCAGTCTACACAATCCATTGTGGACGATGTATTTTTATAGTATTTAAATATCAGTTTTTGTGGTAACTGAATATCATAGTATCATGAGCTCATAAACATGTATAAATGCTAATTATCAACGCCCCACCTCTCAAAATTCAAAAGACTTAAGTTAAACTAAACTGTTTGGGGTATTTTTTGCAAAGTAAGTCAAAGGTCAAAATCAAGTTAATTGTAACGCTGGTATTTTTTATGATGTTTCATGACAATCAGTGTACATGCTAAATAGCATAGACTGACCTCTTTAATGTCAAAAATATGCTGCAAATTGGAACTATTCACTGTTTTGTAAAGTACATGTAGGTCAAAGGTCAAGGACAAGGGTCGCGAGGTCGGTAACCATGGCAATTCACAAAAGCCAGGCAATATACATATATGTGCAAAATATCAAGTTCATATCTCTTACAGTTCTTGAGATACAAGGTGTGTCAGACGGACAGACAGACAGCTAGACGGACGGGCAGACAGACGTCGGGTAGAGTGATCCCTTAGTGGCACTCTGCTCTGCAGGCGACACAAAAAGTACGATTACAACTTTAGAGTCGGCGTTTTATCAGTATCTCCTTCGATAGAATGGGTCTGCTTCAGTTATTGGTAATTTCTCGTACAATCAATATAGAGAGTAAATGTTGTACACGTAATCAGACTTTGTAATATTGTGATGTTCAATTTCTGAATTCAAATTAAAAGACCAACCAAATGGTAGCATATTTCAACATCAAATTGAAAAAAAGTAAAGGCTTCTTATTGTACGTAATAAGTTAAAGCATGTTAAGTCTTTATCGTAGCCAGGATAGTGGGAGACAAACTTTTTTTTTAAAAGATTTCCGCCATTTTTATGATCATTTTTTAATCTAATGACCAAAACTGGATTGAATGTTAAATGTTCTATTGAAGCACTGAATTTAAATAAGGATATTAATTAAATCCACAGAGGAATTGCTATCATCTAGTTCTACCGCTAATTAAGTCACAGGTCACACACTTGGTTACGACACTGTTATTTTGTGTTTGGTAATGGTTTTTCAATTACACTCTGTGATTTAAATCTGTGCCATATGTAAACAATGAGAAATCGATCGATAATGCTATGCAACTCGACAACAAATATTGAATGGCATTTTTTCTATGTATATTTAACGTTTAATGAGCAGATTGAATACAGGAATTCTTTAAAACGCAAAAGTTGTTGCCAACTACATATTTTGCATTCTGAATCTCCAGTTTCACATAATACATGTAATTGTTACCATGTACGAAATTTGTTGTATATATTTGCTTTATATTTTCTGACAGAATATTTTTGTTATATACAGAAATCGTAAATAATATATCATTATTATAATATTTCAATAAAGATATAGTACTGTATTGTCTTATTGCTCAAATGATTATTTAAATGTACCTTTATCAATATTTGATACATAAATACATACATGTATCCCGCCTAAATTTATTTTCAGCCAATTGAATTTTTTTCGGTCAATAAAATTTATCCGTCTCTGACTATCATAAAATTCTTCCTGAATCAAGGTTTATCAGTTGTAGGGTGTGTTTATAGCCATGACAACAAATATTGCGGAAGAAAGAACACATGGAGTTTCCCATTACATGTGATTATCTACTTTCTTTTTAAACGCCGAACTTCGCAGTAAAGATATAAAAAAAAATTGGTTATCTGACGAACTACGCAGAGTTGTTATTCCTGTTTTAAAATCATAGTACTGAGAGTACTAAATGTACATAGTATGCAATAAAAGATGATAACATGGAGACAAAATTATTTACCATGATTTGGGTAGATCAGATCTGTCTCTGTCTCTCTCTCTCTCTCTCTCTCTCTCTCTCTCTCTCTTTGGAGGGGGGGGGGGCGGTTTCAGCAAAATGTATTTTCTGGATATTATCTGTAATTTGCATGCTAAAATTTGTATTTAAAAAAAAAGTCTTGCATTTTAAAGTCTTCTTGTTTAGGATTGGACTGAGTTATTGAGTATTGATTTGAGGTTACTAAAACACAAGAAAAAGACAAAAATGATTTTTTTTTAATGTCAGAAATGTATCATTCTCTTTTCTCAAAAACTAAATAATATAGTATTCCGATCTGAGGTCGGAGCCGTTGATGCAATGTGCTTTTATTGCTCACAACAAATTGGGTCAAAATAGTGTGATTCCAATGACTTCAACTTAAATAATATAAGTGAGTGTTCATTTTATCAATTTAGAACCACGGTGAGAAATCGTTTAGCTCCAGTTTGCAGAGTCCCTAATCCCTTACAAATAAGACTTTGCTATAGAGGAGAACAAGGTAATGTCCATAAACATGAATGTGCTTTACACGGTTACACCTATTTGTGTCTCACAAAAAATCCGATTGACAGCATTGCAACTGAAAAAAAACAAACCATTAGTAGACAACAGTCATTGAGTAATCACATGTAGTATTTGCTTATGACAGTGCGATTATGCCAATGTTTTCTATAAGTGAGAATAATTTCTCCATGCAATGGACCTAATGCAAAGACAACCAGACAAGTCAGAAGATCATTATTATGTTAAGAGACAACAAATATGTTTATGTTTTAATGATGCACACATACAAATGGTCTTATGCTAAGATTTTTTGGATATTAATGACCAGATTATGATTATCATAAACTGTAATCTTTTCAGAAAATCAGAGGAAAAAAATTAATAGAACGAATATTTTAAGAAGATATTGATGCTATTCTTCACAGTCAAATTGCATCTTGTCATTATTTTGGAATCTGATTACAATGTGGCCTGAAAACTTCAAAATCGACGGTTATGCAGATAAAATATCCAACAGTCTTCGATGTGAGTATAATGATGGATTCGTTTTAGCCTGTTGTTATGTTTTTACTTTTCACCACGGGGAAGATGAAGGACCAGGTCTCCAAAAAGAGTCATAATTGGTCACTCTTCTCATCCAAGGATCCTTACACGGATGTTAACAAAGGCTGGACTTCAAACTGAAAGAAAATTTAAAAGAAAACGAAATTGGCGTATGAAATAATTACTGTTAAGCCACATATATTCACATTTTCAGGTTTAAAAATCATGTAGCAATTTTATTTTTAAAAGTTAGTATACAAGTATTGCATCAACCTTCTTGAAACTTCATAAAACTGTTGGGTTTGTTTTGTTTTTTTTGTTTTGTTTTTTTTTTTTTGGGGGGGGGTGGTCTTTTTTTAAAGCCGCTAGAAAAACATACTTTGCCATTTTGCCAAGGCAAATTGAAATAAACATTTTGTTTTAATTTGATATTTAGAGAACACATGTACATATTTTGATAATTTAGTTTTTTTTTCTTTTATCTATATAGAGTCCACAGTATATGATAGAGAGAACTTCATTTTCAATTACGGATAGAATACAATTTTAAACAATATTTATACACTCTGTCAGTTCTTTGAATATCTCTATGCCTGTCACATCTAATTTAAAGATCGTGACTAGGTTTAGATATTATTTATCTCGGCCATTTTTAAAATAATGTTTGTTTGCCCTCTCCCGACTCAAGGTAATGGAATTGGGTCGGTAGGTAGGAACATTTATTTCCTGGAAAATTTCAACATACATATTGACGGGATGAGAAAATAATTTGGAAATAAAAAGAAAAAAAAATATCGTTTCGAGTTTCGAGTCGGGCCATTTTTAGCCAGTCGGTCGAGAGAGGGTAAACAAACATTTTTTTAAGGATAGCCCTATCAGTACACAGTTCTTACATGTACCTATAGCTTTTAATGTTCAAAGGTGTTTTTAATGTTTATGTACCATAAAACCAAGTTTACTGTAAATCGTCAGCAGTTCCGATCTTGCATATACATATCTCTGGCAATTGTACAGACTTTCGTAAAAATGGGGATATAATACCAACATCTCGATTTCCATGCAGGAAATTTCTTATTCCCAGTTGCCCATTTTCCCTTTTTTCGGCATCATTTAAACGTAATAAAAGTAATGAATACAAATGAAGCCAATAACTCTTTTTCTTCTTGAAATAAAATATATAGAAAGAGGATATCTACCTAAATCACTTAGTACCGCGGTAATTTTAATATTTTGTTACAAAATCTTAGATGTACATACATGTAGTGTACATTTTCAATACATTTTGAAATTCAAAACCCCATAGCTCTGAACCATAAAACAATATAGGTTGAATCATAGTATCAAAAAGAAATTATGCCTATTTACAAGATACATCATACAATTTTATAATAAAAAACTTTTTTCTGAAAACATCTTTTCCCATGAGGAAGAGTTTGTTTAAAAAAAAAACCGTAAGATATTTATATGAAGAAACATTTACTACTTATTTGCAATCAAAAACCAGTGTACATGTATATATACAGTGTATAGGAAAGTGAGTCAAGGTGCATTTATTTAAAGTTTATTTTCCTTCCGCATATAAAGTTTACATTTACATAAGATACACTTCACAAAACTGAGTACACATGACCGTTAAGTTATGTATAAAGATAAACTTTTTTCGCAAGGTACTTAGGAAGTAAAAAGATAGTCGAGGGGAGCAGTTTCTGCCTAACTCGTAAGAAAGCAAGAATTAGTTGCCTAACCTTGTTTTTTGAACCCCGATCCCGCTGTTAATCAATAAATGTTAATTAATTGATGAATAATAATACAATTTTTAAATCAGACTTGTGAGTGATTGAACATGGAATATTTCGCAGAATATATTCTTAATGCTTTCATTTTGGGGTTAAATTAATTAATTTATTTTTCCACTCGATTTGAACCTAGCGCTATTTCAATTGAAGTAGTATATACTTTAGAAATAACATTTTATAGATGAATGCATCAATTAAATTGATGAGCACAATAATTGATTTGATTCCCGCATTAATTCAAATGCTCTCATCTATTAGTGTGCTCATTAATTTAACTCTCGAGCTCAACAATGTAGTGGACTAATTGCTCAGCCTCTCTGTTGATCTCTTTTATTCAGTTGAACAGTTGAAGATATGTTTAATTATCAAGTATCAAAATAACTAGCAATTTGAATAAAGGAAATTTTTAAAAATGCCTAACTGTAGCATCATCTTTTTTTTTTTTTTTTACTTTTTACGTTTTACCTAACCAGATTTTCTTAGAAAATAACCAGAAGCTTCGTATAATTCCGTCACGATGATGAGGCAGACGGAGTTCGCCGAAATGTGACGATTGCTCACAAATTTGAAGCCGGATCTCGCTTTTACGGTGATACATTTAGGACACGGGTTTTTTTTTTCTTCAAAGATACGAGACAAAAATTATCTCGAGCGCAACGACATACATATTATCTCGTTAGCACGACATAATATCCTGTGCGCATGACCTATGATTTATTATTTCTTTGATTGAGTTTTAAGGCGCTTTTCTTGTATGGAAGTAGATCGTACATGTGCTAGGGAAGTGGTCACTAGGGATTTCTTTCAACAGGGATTTAAACAGGGGGGGGGGGGGGGCTGTAAATATATTCAGGCTACAGTCCAAACTCAAGAATGATGATCAAAAGCCAAATACTCGTGGCATTTAATTCGTATTTTTCTTTGAGAGTGAAAATGTGAATAAAACCAAAGCTTTGACCAATTAGTTAAATTTTTTCTGGTACATTTAATTTCTAATGATAAATTTGCCCAGGTTAGCGATCATATAGAAAATATAGAGAATATTTAGTATATAAAAACTACAGCTCCTTGGCTATACAATGCAAGATTCAAACAATAATCTCATCAAGGAGACTAGATCTGTCAGACCTACACAAATGCCCCTTTCTTGGCCAAATGTAATGTCTATATTTGTCATAAATTGCTATAATCTTGTAATAGGAACATATACATTTTAGTAGTGTTTACTGTTATTAAAATTTTCATTTTAGAACAAATTCGCTGAATACCAATCAACAATCTGTAAAATACTTATTTTCAACAAATATGCTATGTGAAAGAGTTCGGGAAAAATGCAAAATTTTAAAGTTAAGTCAATATTGGATATGTCGTGCACACGAGATACTATGAGATAATTTTTTCCTAGTAAATAAAATTTCCTTAAATAAAAAAAAAATCTGTCTCCTAAATATATCACAATGTCCATTCAATATATGCATATGTATAGGTGATTTCATTCGTAACTACAAAGAGAAATTGTACCTCTATAACAGTTTCAAATTATGATAGAATGAAAATGTTCCTGTTATTATTCTTAAAATTTTGCTGTAAATGCACTGGCTAATTTCACCCATTAAAATTTAAAATACGGCATTTCATTCAGTCCACATAAAAGCAGTTTAAGATCATTTTAGATTTTTTTTCCGGGGGGGGGGGGATTATGAAAATTCCAACCAAGCACCTGAAATACAATCTTAATGTTCAAGTTTAATTTTCACCGATTTGTACGTCGGAAACTGTGAAAGCATTTTTCGATATAAATATGTTACTCCACTACATAAGTACAGTTTATTTTTGGTCGTGCGCTATCATATTGATAACTATTTACTGCATGCTCTAGCCATCCTGTTATTTTAAAAAAAAATTCGACTTGAATCTTTCATTCTTTTTTAAGTGTTCTGTTTTTAGTATCATAATCTTACATTAGAATGTACTGTGTATGTGTACCGGGACGGATATTGACTTGAATAAAATACCCAATGCATCTTATTTAAACAGATAAAAGATATACTTCTCATTCATAATGCCTAACTTCTTAGCTATATGAAAGGAACGAAGAAAAATCTGCCGAACTCGGTACACGTTACTTCCTCTTTCGGCTTTAAACTGGTTGACAACCTACGGAAATACATCAGTGACAGAATATTCAATGTAATGTACGAAACATGAATCATACGAGATTTCTATATTTTAGCTTGTAATTAGTTCATCAGAGTAAGGAACTTCAGTGAGATTCCCTCTGACCTTTAATTCATATACTTTCTTTGTGTTGTAAGCTTTTCATTTTGGTATGTTATTAGTATACAGTTTGCAAGCTAAAAAGGCAATATGTGTATGACATTCATATGGAGAAATGGTGTTCATTCTGCTCATTTGCATATCGGCCATATTAGAGATATAATGGCGGCAGATTCCATAAAGGTTTATATAAAGAAAATACAATAAATCGCAATTTTTAATATACTAACTATTTCGGATAAAGTTCTTCCGCCGATGATTTGATTCTTCTTAATATCTTCTACCGGAAATGACAAGATTGTTGATACGAAAGTGAAAGTTGCGACCGCCTTTTTGATTTGAAAATTCGAAGCGAGAGTATATTGCTTTATTGAAGGAAAGAGTACAAAATTGGTGTTTTTATCATTTTTGATGATGAAATGTAAGTGTTTATTGCAAGTTGACAGAGTTCTTCCGCCGATTAATAGGAGCAGGAGAGAGCCTATTTTTTATAAAATACAAATGATTTACCATTTTATGAAGAGTTACGACCGCCTTTTTAATTTAAAAACAGCAATTTTCTTGCATTTTGTGACCTACTTATTATCAGAAAAACGTTATCATAGTCTTCAGCCGTTAATCACACAAAATTCTACCCATATAACTATTGCGGAGGTTTGAAGAAAAAACAAAACGAAACGGGCTTGCAGGTTTTAATATAAAAATTTAAAGAAATGGAATTCTGAGTTAATGCAGGATCTTATGAATATTAATAAGAATTTAATCACGTGGCAACAATCTCATGAATAAACTGCACGCCATTTCTCCATATGTATCAAAAATTGAGACTATTTAATTTACCAGTAGAATGTCAGCTTGATTTGTCCGATAAGGTTGTTTGTATGAATGTGAAACATGGGTTTTAAGAATAATGACGTTATTGAACTAATCTTTAAAATTGTTTTTAAATATATTTTAAATCTGAAAAGAACAACCGAGCACACGAAAACGTTTCTCTCTATATGTTATATAAAGTGTTATTACTGTAATATATCACTGCCTGAAAATAAGATCGGTTTTTGTATGATATTCACATGTGCAGTATATATGCGCAGTTTCGTACAAGAAGTCATATTACCCCCCCTAAATTTCGTGTATTAAATATATACTTAAGCTTGATCTTTGTGGGTACACAAACGTATGGAATGAACACGTGTTTGTAAATTAAAATAGTGAACAACGTCTTAAGAGGGGATTCTTCTCATATATATTGTATTTAAAAAATAATAAAATTTTCATAGATTCAAGAAAATAATATCACTAAGTGATTGTTTTAACAAGATTAGATTTGACCGTTTTATTTCAGAAGCAAGGTCATGTCCAGATCATTATCTTTTTCCTTGATGTTAAAAAAAATCAATTTTGTTGCAGTCATGTGATGCCTACTATAATAAAATGTTTTCTTTTTGTGTCCAAAAATGTTACCATATAATGCCTATCAGATGATGCTACCAAGTTGTCATAAGTAATTTATCTTAAAAAGATATTGGCCTTTCCGAATTTCCTCCATTTTTCTTGATTTTTACGCTTCGTATACAAAATGATTTTAAAAAACCCAAAAGGATCTGACCGTTTACTGAGAGAGAAAAAAGCTAGACTTTTTACCGATCTTTTGCTCAAATCTGTATCTAGATCGGAAACTGTAAAAAGCTAACAAGATTGTGGTTTGTTTGGAAAATCAATATTTATTTTATATATTTTAAAACTTTAGTTCTTTATTATTGAAGAAAAAAATTCTCAAATTTGACGAAATTTCACCAGAACTGAGAAAATTCGGGAAAATGCCCTACTTCTGCACCCTCTTGTGGTCTCCATATTAGCTTTGAATCAAAAATAGTGCTGGTTTAAAAACAAGCGCCATTTTAAGTTTTAAACTACAAACACTCACAATTTTAACTGTGTTCTGATTTTTACACCAAATAAGGGGCCAGATTCGGCCGTTACCATACCTTGTCCTTTCATAACTTAAAATAACTTTTCAAAGTCAGTTAGGTATCTACCATCTTGAGTTTTGAATTTTACAAATTCGGATTTTACAGTTCAACCTCCCTTCGGTGGTTTGTAAAAAGAACAAAATATTCAAAACCAATTTAGTTTCTTTCATTTTTTCCCTATTTTTAAAACATATTTTATTTGTTTGTTTATTTATTGAGATATTTGGGCTATCGGAAAATAAATGTGCTTTACACCTAGTGATGGGAAATCGGAATATTTTTCATAATTATCGGAATAATCGGATGCACAATAACTGATTAATAATCGATTGATCTCAAGTATTAAATTTGTTCATTTTTTGAATGAAGAATAAAGTGGTTAAAAATTCTTGAGTGATTTCTAGAGTACATGTTTGATGCATTTTGTATCATTGGATTCATTTATTAGATATTAAAATGTAGTTAAACTCAAAGAAGAATGACTCAAAAATCAAAGGAATAACTTGCTTTTACCTAATATTTTGATACATCGATTATCAAAATTATAATCGATTTTCTATAATCGGGGGTCATTTCGATTAGATAATCGATTAATCGGTAAATCACTATTTACACCTATTTGTGTCTCACAAAAAATCCGATTGACAGCATTGCAACTGAAAAAAAACAAACCATTAGTAGACAACAGTCATTGAGTAATCACATGTAGTATTTGCTTATGACAGTGCGATTATGCCAATGTTTTCTATAAGTGAGGATAATTTCTCCATGCAATGGACCTAATGCAAAGACAACCAGACAAGTCAGAAGATCATTATTATGTTAAGAGACAACAAATATGTTTATGTTTTAATGATGCACACATACAAATGGTCTTATGCTAAGATTTTTTGGATATTAATGACCAGATTATGATTATCATAAACTGTAATCTTTTCAGAAAATCAGAGGAAAAAACTTAATAGAAGGAATATTTTGAGAAGGTATTAATGCTATTCTTCACAGTAAAATAGAATCTGGTCATTATTTTGGAATCTGATTACAATGTGGCCTGAAAACTTCAAAATCGACGGTTATGCAGATAAAATATCCAACAGTCTTCGATGTGAGTATGACGATGGATTCGTTTTAGCCTGTTGTTATGTTTTTACTTTTCACCACAGGGAAGATGAAGGACCAGGTCGCCAAAAAGAGTCATAACTGGTCACTCTACTCATCCAAGGATCCTTACACGGATGAAAACAAAGGCTGGACTTCAAACTGAAAGAAAAATTAAAAAAAAAAATTCAATTCAAAATGAAAAAAAAAAAACGAAATACGCGTATTAAATAATTACAAGCCACATGTATTTACATTTTCAGGTTTAAAAATCATGTAGCAATTTTATTTTTACAAGTTAGTATACAAGTATTGCATCAACCTTCTTGAAACTTCATAAAACTGTTTTTTTTTTTTTTTTTTTTTTTTTTTTTTTTTTTTTGTTTTGTTTTGTTTTGTTTGTCTTTTTTTTTAAAGCCGCTAAAAACAACATACTTTGCCATTTTGCCAAGGCATTTAAGGTATTGTTTCCTCCATATTGAAATAAATATTTTGTTTTTGATATTTAGAGAACACATGTACATATTTTGATAATTTAGTTTTTTTTCTATAGAGTCCAGAGTATATGATAGAGAGGACTTCATTTTCAATTACGGATAAAATACAATTTTAAACAATATTTACATACTCTGTAAGTTCTTTGAATATCTCTATGCCTGTCACATCTAATTTAAAGATCATGACTAGGTTTAGATATTATTTATCTTGGCCATCTTTAAAATAATGTTGTTTGCCCTCTCCCGACTCAAGGTAAAGGAATATGGGTCGGTAGGTAGGAACATTTATTTCCTGGAAAATTTCAACATATATATTGACGGAATGAGAAAATGATTTAGATATAAAAAGAAAAAATATCGTTTCGTGCAGGTTAGAAAAAAAAGTTTTGAGTCGGGCCATTTTTAGCCAGTCGGTCGAGAGAGGGTAAACAAACATTTTTTTTTTAAAGATGACCCTATCAGTACACAGTGCTTACATGTACCTATAGCTTTTAATGTTCAAAGGTGTTTTAAATGTTTATGTACCATAAAACCAAGTTTACTGTAAATCGTCAGCAGTTCCGATCTTGCATATCTTGGCAATAGTAAAGACTTTCGTAAAAATGGGGATACAATACAAACATCGATCTCGATTTCTATGCAAGAAATTTCTTATTCCCAGTTGCCCATTTTCCTTTTTTTCAGCATCATTTAACGTAATAAAAGTAATGAATACAAATGAAGCCAATAAATTTTCTTTTTTTCTTCTTGAAATTATATATATAGAGAAGATATCTACCTAAATCACTTAGTACCGCGGTAATTTTAATATTTTCTTACAAAATCTTAGATGTACATGTAGTGTACATTTTCAATACATTTTGAAATTTCAAAACCCTATAGCTCTGAACCATAAAACAATATAGGTTGAATCATAGTATCAAAAAGAAATTATGCCTATTTACAAGATACATCATACAATTTTATAATAAAAACCTTTTTTCTGAAAGCATCTTTTCCCCTGAGGAAGAGTTTGTTTAAAAAAAACCGTAAGTTTTATATTAAGAAACATTTACTACTTATTTGCAATCAAAAACTAATTTTACATGTATATATACAGTGTATAGGAAAGTGAGTCAAGGTGCATTTATTTAAAGTTTATTTTCCTTCCGCATATAAAGTTTACATTTACATAAGATACACTTCACAAAACTGAGTACACATGACCGTTAAGTTATGTATAAAGATAAACTTTTTTCGCAAGGTACTTAGGAAGTAAAAAGATAGTCGAGGGGAGCAGTTTCTGCCTAACTCGTAAGAAAGCAAGAATTAGTTGCCTAACCTTGTTTTTTGAACCCCGATCCCGCTGTTAATCAATAAATGAATGATAATACAATTTTTAAATCAGACTTGTGAGTAATTGAACATGGAATAATTCGCAGAATATATTCTTAATGTTTTCATTTTGGGGATTTTTTAAATTAATTAATTTATTTTTCCACTCGATTTGAACCTACCGATGTTTCAATTGAAGTAGTAGACCTATATATTTTAGAAATAACATTTTATAGATGAATGCATCAATTAAATTGATGAGCACAATAATTGGTTTGATTCCCGCATTAATTCAAATGCTCTCATCTATTAGTGTGCTCATTAATTTAACTCTCGAGCTCAACAATGTAGTGGACTAATTGCTCAGCCTCTCTGTTGATCTCTTTTATTCAGTTGAACAGTTGAAGATATGTTTAATTATCAAGTATCAAAATAACTAGCAATTTGAATAAAGGAAATTTTTAAAAATGCCTAACTGTAGCATCGTCTTTTGTTTTCTTTTTTTTACGTTTTACCTAACCAGGTTTTCTTAGAAAATAACCGGAAACTTCGTATAATTCCGTCACGATGACGAGGCAGACGGAGTTCGCCGACATGTGACGATTGCTCACCAATTTGAAGCCGGATCTCGCTTTTACGGCGGTACATTTAGGACACAGGGTTTTTTTTTTCTCAAAAATTATCTCGAGCGCAAGACATACTATCTCGTGCACACGACCAGAGACATATCTCTGACACGACATTATACATATATTACATGGCTTCGAGGGCAACATACCAGAATATTTGCCCCCGAGGTGACAGGAAAGCCCTGGAGTGTTATGTCGCCCGATGCCGAAGGCAGAGGGCGACATAACACTCCAGGGCTTTCCTGTTACCGAGGGGCAAATATTCTGGTATTGTTGCCCGAGAAGTCATGTAATATATGGTATATAACATTTTTAAAAAACCAAAATCGGACATATTTATTGACGACTATATACATGTATGGACCTGTGTAAATATCTAGAAAAAAACATGCAAATCATCATAGCTGATTGGTGGATTCTAATAGTTTCGATAATAATGCTAAGGAATATTAACACTATTGTTGTTAAAATGATAACGGGGGACGGCTGAAAGTTATGAAGGCCGATTTCTCTTCCTTTATAAATAATTCCGAAATATTCCGTCTTGTTTCATTGCAGAATGTTTTCAGCACGCTGACATTTGTGTTTATAATTTTTGTTGTATTTACGGAATTTTCTCCCCAATCAAACTATCTAGTTCCTCTGAATTTAAATGAACATAAAAAAAAAACGCAGACGTACTGCCTCTGTGAATTTCGAACCCGACTTAATCAATATGCAGAATGACTGCACGCGAGGGAATATAACGGTGTTCGGGAGGGCAATATAACTGTTTCCGGTGTAATATAACTATATCCGGCGTGATTCAGCAGTTTTTCAGGGCATATGGATAAAAATATCATATTTGTGATATAATGGGAAAATTTCTTCAAAAATGTTATATAACATATTATCTCATTGGCACGACATAATATCTCGTGCGCATGACCTATGATTTATTATTTCTTTGATTGAGTTTTAAGGCGCTTTTCTTATATGGAAGTAGATCGTATATTACAAGGGAAGTGGTCACTAGGGATTTCTTTCAACAGGGATTTAAACAGGGGGGGGGGGGGGGGGCTGTAAATAAATTCAGGACACAGTCCAAATTCAAGAATGATGATCAAAAGCCAAATACTCGTGGCATTTAATTGATATTTTTCTTTTGGCATTTAATTCGTATTTTTCTTTGAGAGTGAAAATGTGGATAAAACCATAGCTTTGACCAATTAGTTAAACTTTTTCTGGTATATTTAATTTCCAATGATAAATTTGCCCAGGTCAGCGATCATATAGAAAATATAGAGACTATTTAGTACATGTATATAGAAACTACAGCTCCTTGGCTATACAATGTAAAATTCAAACAATAGTCTCATCTGTCAGACCTACATAATTGCCCCATCCTTGGCCAAATGTAAAGTATACCTGTCATAAATTGCTATAATCTTGTAACAGGAACATACATTTTAGTAGTGTTTACTGTTATTAAAATTTTCATTTTAAAATTTTAAACAAATTCGCTGAATACCCATCAACAATCTGTAAAACATTTATTTTCAACAAATATGCTATGTGAAAGAGTTCGGGGAAAATGCAAAATTTTAAGGTTAAGTCAATATTGATTATGTCATGCGCACGAGATACTATGAGATAATTTTTTCCTAGTATCTTTGAATTAAAAAAAAAATGTGTGTCCTAAATATATCACCATACGCATTCAATATATGCATATGAAAATGTTCCTGTTATTAATTTTAAAATTTTGCTGTAAATACACTAGCTCATTTCATCCATTAAAATTTAGAATACGGTATTTCATTCGGTCCACTTAAAAGCAGTTTAAGATAATTTTAGATTTTTTTTTCCTGGGAGGTGGGGGGTGGGGGTGAAAATTCCAACCAAGAACCTGAAATACAATCTTTATGTCTAAGTATTTGTGCGTCGGAAACTGAGGTAGCATTTTTTATGATATAAATATGTTTCTCCACTGCATAAGTACAGTTTATTTTTTGTCGTGTACTATCATATGGACACTATTTACAGCAGGCTCTAGCTATCCTGTTATTTTAAAAATTTAGACTTGAATCTCTCATCTTTTTAAGTGTTCTGTTTTTAGTATCATAATCTTACATTAGAATGTACTGTGTACACCGGGACGGATATTGTCCTGAATAAAATACCCAATGCATCTTATTTAAAGAGATAAAAGATATACTTCTCATTCAAAATGCCTAACTTCTTAACTATATGAAAGAAACGAAGAAAAATCTGCCGAACTAGGTACACATTACTTCCTCTTTCGGTTTTAACGTTAAACTGGTTGACAACCTACGGAAATACATCAGTGACAGTATATATTCAATGTAATGTACGAAACATAAATCATACGAGATTTCTATATTTCCTAGCTTGTAATTAGTTCATCTGAGTAAGGAACTTAAGTCAGAATGACTACCTTCTTTGTGTTGTAATCTTTTTAATTTGGTATGTTATTATTATACAGTTTGCAAGCCCAAAAAGCTATATGTGTATGGCATTATCAAAAATTGAAACAATTCAATTTACCAGTAGAATGTCAGCTTGATTTGTCCGATAAGGTTGTTTGTATGGATGTGAAACATGGGTTTTGAGAATAATGATGTTATTGAACTCATCTTAATTTTTAAAAAATATATTTTAAATCTAAAAAGAACAAACCGAGCACACTAGGACGTTTCTCTCTATATGTCATATAAAGTGT